GGCGGGAGATTATGAGTTTGTTAGTTTGAAGATCCAAGCAGCGGTAGCCGCGTTGGTTGGAGGGATAACCGAGAAAAATGCAGCGAGCTGAGCGTGGCGCTAACTTGTTAGGGGTGGTGGCAGAGATGTTAGGATAACAGAGACAACCAAAGACACGGAGATGGGAGTATGAGGGTGGTGAGTTGTAAAGAGTAGCATGGGGGTGTTGTTATTTAAAGTGGTGGTGGGGAGGAGGTTAAAAATGTGGGCAGCCATGTGAAGGGCCTCAACCCAAAATTCGGGGGGGAGTTGGGCTTGGAAAAGGAGGGATCTAACGGTGTTGTTAAGGGTGCAGAGGGTGCGCTCAGCTCGTCCGTTTTGTTGGCTAGTATGTGGACAAGAAAATCTAAAAAGAATGCCTAAAGAGTCAAAAATATTTTTAAGGGGAGAGTTGCAAAATTCAGTTCCATTGTCACATTGTACAGCTTTTATTGTTGTGTTAAAATGATTTTTGACATATGCTATAAAAGTGGTTAAATGATTAAAAGCGTCACTCTTATGTCGTAAAGGAAATACCCATAGATAATGCGAAAAATCAACCAATAAAATCATGTAAAATTTAAAACCAGTTATACTGGGTACAGGAGATTGCCACAAGTCTGAATGTAAAAGTTGAAAAGGAAAAGTAGAAACACGACTAGATGATGAAAAAGGGAGGCGCACATGCTTTCCCAACTGACATGCATGACATAAAGTATGTTGATAGTTCTTAAAAGTAGAAATATAAGGGACGCCACGGAGGACAGCTGGGCTTGGGTGACCAAGGCGCCTGTGCCAAATCTGAGGATCGACATCGGCGACATGGGCTTGTGCAGTGATGGTGCGTCCTACAGGGTAGAGAGGTCCCATATCATTGGATCGATGCATCACGGTTCCCGTCCGACGATCCTTCACAGAAAAACCATGAGCATCAAATTCAACAGTACAATTATTATCACGGGTAAGTTGACGAACAGAGATGAGGTTGTGGGTGATGTGGGGGGAGACTAAGATATGATTAAGGGATAAGGGAGGGGTGGTGGGTATGGTGTGGCTTCCAACAGCCGTAGTGCGAACCTTAGATCCATTACCGACAGTGATATATAATGGTGAACATAATGATTGTGAAGAAGAAACATAAGAAAGAGTACCTGGGTCGGAGGCGATGTGATGTGAGGCGCCGGTGTCCATAAACCAGGTAGGCTCGCGGAGAGACATAGTGTCA